ACTTGTAGCTGGAGACCACTTCCACCGCAGATCCTCTTATGTTCAGGAGCGGGAGGTGAGTTTGTTCCTTCTGAAGTCCACCATCATCTCCTTCATCTTCTTCATATTGATGTGAAGGTTATTCTCTTTGCACCAGCTCTCCAGGTGTTCCACCTCTTGCCTGTAGCTGGACTCATCATTGTTAGTGATGCATCCCACCACCGCTGTATCATCTGTAAACTTTACAATGTGACAGCCTGGATGGGTAGCTGCACAATCATACGTGAGCAGAGTAAACAGGAGGGGGCTCAACACACATCCCTGAGGAATTCAGCAAGTACTTTTACTTTTAATACTTTAAGCATTTTAAAAACAAGTACTTGTTTATTTTTACTTAAGTAAAAATGTTAATGTGGTACTGCTACTTTTACTAGTGTACATTTTTGTCTGTTAATTTGTACTTTTACTTAAGTACAGTGTTTGAGTACTTTCTCTACCACTGATTGAGGGTGGGGGTTAAGGGCCTTGCTCAAGGGCCCAGGGTGGGGCGAATGAGGGTGGAGGCAGGTGTGGGTGCTTCACCTTTTCCACCCACACTTTGATGGTGACGGTACCGGGAGTTGAACCTACAACTTTCCGAGCACAGGCCCATCTTCTCTAACCTCTGCGCCACCACTCCCCCTCATGAAAATTAAAGTTACAACCGTGACACGGTTATGTGCACTCGTTTTACCGAGAAATCAAAGCGCGTGAAAACGGTCCATCCGCCTCTGTGCGCGCTCCCGACACACGGGGAAGAGAATTTCGCACAACACCGGACCTAGCTAGCTAGCTAGCTTACCTTCTCCTCCACACAGTGAACGACGATTGACGGGTACTTTCTGCTCAGCCAGCGGAAAAAGGCGGGAACTCCCATGATGTCCGCTGACTAATCTTTAATCTGTCGGTTTATAAAAACGTTTCGGTACCAGAACTCAGTTCAAACAGATTTGTTGCTCTTTAATGGACTAACAGGAACCCAACGGCTAAGACACATGCAGCTGAAGAGTTAGCTTCCGCTTCAAATTCACAACTTCCGGTAATTTCAGCAGAAGCAGCTGCAGCGCCCCCAGCGGCCACAAGTGGTTTCCGCCTGTGTTCATTCATTCAACCTTTATTTCTACAGGTTAGTCTCACTGAACCTCGGGGACTCATTTACAGAGAGACCTGATTTTAACAGTGATGACAACAGTGGACAACAAAGAGTGGGGAGTGGTAGCGCAGAGGTTAAAGAAGGTGGGCCTGTGATCGGAAAGTTGTAGGTTCAACTCCCAGTACCGTCAACATCAGAATGTGGGTGGAAAAGGTGAAACACCCACACCTGCCTCCACCCTCATTCGCCCACTCTGGACCCCTGAGCAAGTCCCTTAAGCTCCCAAAAACAGGTCTCTCTTGAAAATGAGTTCTCATGACTCAATGAGACTACCTGTATAAATAAAGGGTAAATGAAAAAAAAAACACAACAATAGAAAATCATAAAGGATGCGTACAAACTGATTTTTTTTAACAAATGAAAATAAAATGGTATTTTAAAGAAAATTAAAAAAAACAGCGGTTGTAGGGCGATATGGAATACTAAAAACAGGAACATGTCTGCATTGGTTCTTACCAGGAACTTATCAGATGTTTGAAGACACTTAGAGAGGTCAAAGGTCGAGAGCTTCAGATCTTTTTACAAGATATTCCAGGAAACAGGAGCGGAGTAGGAGAAGGTCCTTTTGTCTAGTTCAGTCCTCACTGAGGGAACACTGCAGGTAATGATGTCCTGAGAGCGCACGCTGTAGCTGCACTCACACAGAGACATGTAGGAGGAGATGTATGAAGGCAGCAGACCAGGAAGAGATTTAGGTCGTTTTCACACCAGATAGTCTGGTAGACTCGGTTCGGGACCAATATTCATGAGCTTTTGTTACATTTGAGCTGGTGCGTTTGCATTCACACTGCACTGTGCAGTCAAGTCAACCTGTTGAAGCAACCTGTTGAAGCAACCTGTTGAAGCAACCTGTTGAACCAACCTGTTGAACCAACCTGTTCCCCCGCTCGCCTGTGGGGGCGCTGCACCAAGAACTACTGAAAGAAACGACACAAAAACCTCTGAAGACACGTCTTCTTCTTCTTCTGTAAATAAAAATAAAAACGAAGTGGCATCAAGTTTTATCAGTTTTAGGAGTTATAGTTTGTCATTTTTCAACAATGGACTCAGCATGAGCAGAAGATGAGACAGAAGACCATGGAGAATATTGTTTTTCACACAAGTCAGCTGACGGCTCCATATAAGAGAAATGTGTGTTTGTTTGTCCTGTGGAGCGGGTCCGGTCTGTTTACATTCACACTGTACTGGAACCGCGCTGGAGTTCTCTTCTACCGGACCCAGACCTAGGTTTTAGCCCGGGTCAGAGTTCACCTTTTTGTTCCGTGACAGAGTTCGATGGCGCGTTCACACCTCCCTAAATGAGCCGGACTTTCTAGGAAAACGAGCTAGAGTTGGATTAAAGTGACTAAACAGAGCTGGTGTGAATGCAGCCTTAAAGATGAAAATGTACCAGTGAGAGAGTCTGCGTGAAGTTAATGATGACCAGTTAACCAGTGAATACTGGGTGCAGTGGTGGGTACGATAATCACAGCCAGTTATGAATCTTAGTGCACCATGATAGACAGCATCCAACATCTGCAGGGTTCTTGTAGGAGCGTTGATGTTCATTGCTCCACTGAAAAAGAAAGTAATCAATCAGAGGAAACTGGCTCCTTGGTTCAATTCTGAGTTACGTACTTTAAAGCAGCATCTAGAAACCAGGAGAGAAAATGGCGCTCTACTAATGTTGAAGAATTTTATTTAACTTGGAAAGATATTCTGCTAACATATAAAAAAGCTCTCCGTAACGCTAGAACTTTATATTACTCATCTTTAATAGAGGAGAATA